AAAAGATCACTGTGGAAAATTATTAAGCTGCATACTTGGGGTCTGCACTTTACCGTATGTATGCTATGTGCCTTTTTTTTTTTTAAGTCAAAACCAAACGACATGGGGCTTCCTCTGAGTCGTTCCCGACCTTGTTCCCTGGGTAGGTGTCTCAGCTGCAGGATTTCTGACTTACCTATCACCATAAGGACCAGAAGACGGATGTGTCCTTTTCCATGTATCCCTCTAGTACAAGTGGCTAACCCGTGGTGAACAATAATAGCTGCTCCACCCTAAATAAAGCCTTGTACTTGCAGAAACACCGAGCAGAAGGACAGGGTGTACGTAGAGTAGAGGACAGAAGGAGTGGAAAGAAACACTATCTACAGCTAAGGACTCAAACAGACCGACAAGGCCAGGTTCAAGCCCCGCTAAGGGAGAGGATTCTGCGCCAGCTTCTCGGGCGACAAAGAAGGTGACAGCTGCCCCGCAGGGCCTTTTTGTGCTGCTTGGTGGAGGCAGCCAAAGAGAGGAAAGTGCCCCGGGCTGGGGCCGGGCCGGGACCCCGTGTCTCCCAGTTGGTCCGGCCGCAGGTCCCCGGCTCTCTCTAGCCACACAGGGGCTCTCAGGCCGCCCCCCGCCGCCCCGCGCCCCGCGCCTCGCAGACCCCGCAGACCCCGCAGCCGCTGCGGCGTCTCCGCCCGCCCGCCTTCCGCTCACCTCCGCCTCCCCGCCGGCTGCGCCCTGCGGGCTCCGGCCGGGGAAGGGCCGCGCGCGCCCGGTTCCCGGAAGCGCGGAGGGCGCCGCCCCTGCTGGCTGGGCCGGCCCGTCTCGACCCCAGCATGCGCCCGGCCAAGCGCGGCCCCGAGGGCCCGACCGCCCGGCTTCCGCGTCGCTCCGGGCGCCGCGCGCTCCTCCACGCCAGCGCGAGCCCTGCCCGTCTAGACAGAAACTTGGACTTGAACCTTTTTTGCCTAGGTTCCCCGAAAGCCACCGTGAAAGCCTGAGTCCTGGTTTTGTTCTGGGTGGAATTAAAAAAATAAGGAAAGAAGCCCTGATTTCACCTAAATTGCTAGCATCCTGCACGGGAAATACACATCTTATTTTTCTCTTATACAGTTGAGAAAAGTGAGACTTCGAGAGCGTAAGCGACTTTTTTCAAGGGTCACACACAGTAAGATAAGCGGGTAAAACGGGACTTGAATGCAGAAGAGGCAGGCACAGTGTGGCAGCTGGGAAGGCAGTCAGCCAGGGGACACCCCAGACGCTCTGCAGATGCTGGTCTGATGCCAAAGTGCTTCGCCCTCTAGGCAGTAATTCCCGAATGGGCATTAAACAGCCAACAGTTATGCAGAATGCCAACAGGACTGCTGCTAAAAGGGTGATGAGGCACGACGTTGGCAAGTCCTGGTTAAACATTTAAGTGGTTCCTTTGCTTCCCATTTCTTAGAGCTCTTGAGGTATTCATGAGCTTTGTAAAGCACCAAGGGAATAACACAACATGTACCTTTCCCAAACTTGTTTCACCCTAGAAGAAATATTAGTATCTTCTTGAGCAGTATTCCACCGCATGCCAGTTTGAGAAACATTATCCTAAAACTATGCCCATGAAATGTTGGAAGGTCGAGGTCGTTTAATGGGACCAATGGAAGATTCATGATCTCCCCTCCAATCTTATTTCTTCCTTTTTCTCTCCAGCCAGCCAAAATGGATGAGCTGCTGTCCTGAGGGAGTCCTTTGTGCTGTGGAGTTGTTCATGCATGCTCTTTCTAGATTCATTTTTCTCATCAAAATTATAGTCTTGGAGCCAGGCTTAGTGGTACATGCCTGTAATGTGGGAGGCTGAGGCAGAAGGATCAAGAGTTTGAGGCCAACCTGGGCTAAACAGCAACACCCTGTCTCAAAAACCAAAAACAACAACAAAAAAATATGGTCTCCGGTTGGCTAATGTTGTGGCAAGGATTAGACGAGTATTCATAAAGAACATGGAACCTCGTCATGTTATTACATGGGGCATGTGCCCACATACTCAGTGATTTGCTTTGGCTCTTTTGCAGGTACACCTTGTTCTCCTCTCCACCCAGAGGGCCCTGTCTCTGCCAGCTGTGTTCGCACAACACCTCTGGCCAGGCTCATTTTTGCAGCCTAATAGGAAAGCCTTTCTTAACCCTACTCTTCCCACCTCCTTCCCTGAAATCTCCAAGGTACCTGGCTCAGCTCTCTATTAGAGGGAAGATCCTGCCCCCACCAGGACAGAGATAGATCTTCAGGGTCCAGCAGGGAGTGTTCAGAAGAGCCCTCAGAGGAGGGCTCTGAAGTACAGGACAAGCTCTGGAATGACTGGGTTTGAAGCAAAGATGAAGGTTTGGCCCTTCACACAGTTTGAAAGGAGAAGACATGCTACAGTGCACTCCTATAGACTCTCATGAGCTTAAATAAAGCCTTTTGGAACAGAGGACTCCTTAACGTGTTATTAATAAATACAGCACTTTGTTTTGGGGGGATTTTTGAGACAGGACCTCACTAGGTAGCCCAAGTCTTGAACTCCTGATCCTCCTGCCACTACCTCCCTATGTTGGATTACAGGTGTGAACCACCATGCTTGGCTCAAATACAGCATGTTTGTTCAAGAGCATAGCTTCTGGGTGAGGTGGCAGATGAAGACCTTTTTCCTTAGATTGGAATGTTGATGCCCAAGAGATGGTAACTACTGGGCACCTGAGCAGCTACCCCTCTACAGGGGTAACCGGATGTTGTTTGACCTGGCCATTCCCCTGGCAAGTTCCTCCCTATCTTTCAGCACTGCCTTCCGGTGGCCCTTCCTCTTCTGCTTACCTCTTCAGACCTGGCTTTCTCCGGCTTCCCCAGCCTCCACCAAAGAGCCTCTCCTTCCTCACTGGCAGCATATCTCCCCTCTCTTCCTGTCCTCCCATATGTGAGGCCCACTTCCATCTTTTTCATTCTTTCCAAAGATCACTTTGAGGAGGGCAGGGGCATTTTCCCAGCTGACTCTACTTCCATTCACATGTCCTCTGCAGCTGCCATACCTCAAACTCCATTGAAAGTGCTCTCTGGAGGTCACCAATGACATACTTGCTATTGAATCCAACTAACGTATCATTTTATACTGCTGACCACTTAACTTCCATGACACCACTCTAGTGGATTTTCTCTTGCTTCATCTGAGCACCTTTTTTACCATCCTCTTCTTCGGTTTGTTCCTTAAATACCGATGGGGCCCTCCAGCTTCCCTGTTTGTCCCCCTACTCTTCTTTACTCCCTTGATGTTGCCATAATGTTCCATGATATCATCTCTATCTATAGCCCAATTTGTCCTGCAGCCACACTAATTAATCCAAGTCCCATTAGACTTCTGTGCTTAGATGTCCTAAGGCACTCCTCATTAACATGTCCCAAACTGTACAACTCACTTTGCCCTCACATTGCTCCTGTCTGTGTTCATCTCCATGAGCTGCTTGACAGTTTGGCTACATATCTGGGAGTTACTGAATTACATTTCCTGTTGCTCTGCCACCTCTTTGATCTATCTGCTTTGTCACCATGACAGTTCAGGCACCAGTGGTTTCTGCCATATGGATTGCAGTAATAGCCTCCATCTGACCTCCCTGTCTCCTGTCCTGATATCTGAATGTGTTCTCTACAGGGTGGCCAGGGTGATTCCTTTCCAACCCTGGTCCCAGCCGAGGATCAACCTAAGGGTTCTTGTATTTACTAAGCAAGCGCTACACCCCTAGTACACAGGTGATTTTTCTAAAAGGAAAAATATGATCATATTGCTTCTCGATTTAAAATTCCTCAGGTTGGCTGGTTGCCCACACAATAAACTCCAAGCTCTTTGGTATGGTTCTTCAGCCCCTGGCTCCCTTTTTCACTCTATAATTCAGCCAAAAAGTCACTTTGAACTCCCCAGATTCATACATTGTAACTTAATACTTGATGTGACAGCATTAATAGGTGGGATATTTTGGGAAGTGATTAAATCACAAGGGCTTGGCCTATATGAATGGGATTTGTGCCCTTATAAAAGAGAATGGAGAGAGCTACCTTACTTCCTCTGCCACTTGGGAAACAGGAAGAATGGGGGCTTGGATTAATTGGTGTGGCCTCAGGACAACTTGGGCTATAGAGATGACATGGAATGTGATGGACAAAGATGGAGAATGCTCTATCTTTGAGGTGGAGGGCTGGCTCTTACTAAACACCCAACTTGCTTGCTCCCTGATATTGTACTTCCCAATCTCCAGAACTGGAAGCAATAAATTTCTATTGTTTTTACCCAGTCTAAGGTATTTTGTTATAGCACCCCAAATAGACTAAGACATAGCCCCTGAATCTTAATTCTTGCCTCTGGGCTTTGTTTTCCCTCTGCCTGAATTCACCTGTCTCATTTACTTTGTTAAATTGCTTGTCCTTCAGGCTCAGCTTGGAGGTAACATCCCTGTGAGGCTTCATGCTCCCAACCCCAGATGAGGTGTGCATGCTGAGCTTGCTCCAGTTCTCCAGGGGTCACACTGTGACTGATCAGGGGATGGTGGGTGGTAGACAGGACATACATAGGAAAGCTCCAGTGAAGACACATACTGTGCTTTGCTCTGCTTGCTTGCGTATCTCTAATATTTAATCCTGAACCTGGCCGGAAGTTGGAGCTGAGTAAACGAATACAACAACAAACCCTTCCTTTCCCTCTCCAGCCAGTGTCCCTACAGGAACTTGGGAACAGGTGGCACTAGCTTGCAAATCAAATGCCTACTACATGGGATCTAAGAAAGCTCTAGAGGATGACAGGTCACTGCTTCTCCACTATTGTCAAAAGCTAGTAGGATGCTTCAAAAACTGCTGGGTGCCGGTGACTCATGCTTGTAATCCTAGCTACTTGGAAAGCTAAGATCAGGAGGATTATGGTTTGAGGCTAGCATGGCAAAATAGTTCATGAGACCCTATCTCCAAAATAATCAGAGAAAAATGGCCTGGAGGTTTGGTTCAAGCAGTAGAGCACCTGCTTCGCAAGTACAAAGCCCTGAGTTTAAGTCCCAGTCCCAACAAAAACAAACTTCTACTATGGGAAGAAAAGTAGAATATAAGACTGGGAAGGAAGGAGTTAATCACATTTATTGAATGATGAACAAGGTAACAGATTAAGTCAATAAATCTGGGGCAGGCCATCCCAGAATGCTTCTGTGCCTGAGTTCTGCTCAGAAGGTCAAAGGCCATCTTTCTGGGCCAGTCCCAGGAAGGAGTCAATTCTGGGTTATGGTGCTCAGAATATCAGCAGGACTGCCTTGGTGAGTGGCATCAGCCTGGGCCACAGATCAGTCCTAGGGTCCTGCTCTATTACTTTCTCCTGGCCTGGGCCTCAATGCCTGTGCTCACAGACCTGCCTAGCACACAGAGGCAGAGTGGGCTATGATGAATAGATGGCAGCGAAGAGGATGAGGTCCCAGCACAGTGCTGGGAGGACTCGGGCAGTGAGTGCAGCAAGGGTGACAGCTAGGCTGGTGGGACCCTGGGAAGAACTTCCACACTCAGATGATATTGCACTCTTGGAACTTCTCTCCCAAGTAAAAGCGGCTAAAGAGGAAGGGGCTCATGTTGATGGTCTGGAAGTGGCCCTCCAGCACCATCTCTGCCACAGCTCGCCCCACAGCAGGGGCATGCTGGAGCCCATGACCACTGAAGCCTGTAGCAAAGTACATGTTGACAACCAGTGGGTGGGGGCCCACCACGCCATTCTGGTCAAAAGTGTTGTAGTCATAATAGCCAGCCCAGGCGCTCCGAACCTGTGGGTGCACAAGATGCAGGGGTTCTTAGGAGAGCTGAGACATGTGCAGTTCTTACTCAGGGATCAGCTGCTGAGAGTTTCATGGGATGGGTCCAACAGGTACCTCAGCAGTTGTGAGGTTGAGGAAACGTAGCAGTGGAAGGTCCAAGTGGACCAAGACATTCCAGAATCATCCATCCTGTCTAATGTCTAAATCCAAACAGCAAAAACCACCCCTGCAAGTTACCTTCAGAGTCTTAAAAGCTGGTACTCTTTTGGCCAAATGGGGCCACACCTTGTACTGGAAGAAATCATAATCCACTTCTAGGTTTGTTGGGTCAGGTTCTTCCTCCTGGGTGAGGTGGGGACATGGCTTCTATTGCCTGGGATACCAACCCGGACCTCCCTGATCCCTTTAATCCCTTTGGTAGTCAAAGGATGGGAGTGTGTGTGGAGGGGTGAAGATGGGGTGGGGTGGAGGTTTGCTACACATATTCTAACCTGGGCGACTGCAAAACCAACCACACAGCACAGGCCCCTCCAAAAGGCCTGTGTCTTTCATGGTGATTGGTCTATGTGCCCTTCCCAGCACCCCTCCTCTCAACTTAGCTTACTTCAGTGGGGTTACGGCCACCTAGGTAGTTGTTGCCTAATCCTTCTCGCCGGAAATAGACTCCATTGGTGTTTGTAACCAGTGGTGCCTCGAGGCCTGGTCCCTGGGGGCAGTGCCATAAGTACACATACCTGCAATAACGGGAGTTAGGACATTGCAGGGATAGCATGGCCAGCACCCGTCCCCCTCATACACACACACAGCAAACGTTTATTCAGTCCCTTCTCTCACCAACCTCCTCAGTTGCCCTGATGGAAGCTACCTTTTCCTTGGCTCCACAGGTAGCTTGGTGCCCTCCAGGGTACCAGGAGGCCCCTTTCCAATACCAGCCAGCTCTGCGATTTGCCCAGACCACGCTCCTCCGGCATTGATCACTATGGCACATTCCACTGGCTGGTACTCCAGGCTGTGGTTCATCTTTACCTGTAGGCACCAGAGGGTGAGGGAGGGGAGGGCTGGGCCACCCACTGGGCAGTATGACAAGTAAACAGCCTCCTGATCTTACTTTACCCATACTGGAAAGTGGGTAGAAGATGACCAACATCAGGACAGTCACTACCTTTCTTGCCCTTCCATTGCAGTAAGGAGCAAAATGGGCCTAGGGACTCACGTGGACTTCATAGATCCTTTTCAATATCATCTGTTCTCCACTTGAAGTCTCCATGCGGCTAGATGAAGTGACAAAACCTCCAGGAAAGAAATAAAAAATGAACCCTTAGAGGGTGGGGGTGTAGCTCAGCGGGAGAGCATGTGCTTAGCATCCACAAGACCCTAGGTATAACCCTGAGTACTCCATCCCCAAAACCCTTAAGGGTCTAAGAAGGGAAATGGGGATCCCACCTCCCTCTTAAGGAGAAAAAGCTAGAAGGATGAGCACTTTCCCACAGACACTGAAGCAAACAGATCAGGAAACTGGGATGAACAAGGGTCAGAACAGTGCTGGAACTGTCAAGCAAGTCACAAGTTACAAAGCAGCCTAGTGAGGAGCAGAGTTAGGCTGCCATGGACTAGCCCTCTCCCTCACCAACCTTTCTCAGCCCATGAGTGAGAAGGCAGGGCCCATCTAGGCCTTGCCCTACTTGCTAGAGGATATTAGCAGAAGGTATGGGGCCTTGGACTTACGTGTCACCTCTCCCTGGCAGAAAAGGACCCCCATTGACTGGGCCTTTCGCCGAAGCCCCTGGAGCAGAGACCACGGGTCAAACCAGCCTTCATCCTCCATTCCTGAGATAGGAACAGAGAACTCAAAAAGAGGGACCCAGGACCCCTCCTCTCCTTCTGAATTTCCTGGCCCTCCCTGCTAACATTCTTCCAGGGCTCAGAAGCCAGGGAAGGTTATTTTGACCAAATGGACCATAGTCCAATCCTGCTGAAGGGACAAGAAATAGTGTGGAATGGAGCAGGCCCTGTTGTTCAGGAGAATGCAGCCCTCTTTCAGTGAAAACTTTTAACCCCGAGAAGCCCCTTATTCCTATCTGTAGGAGAAAGCCATCCCCTCTCTCTGCAGATGAGCCTTACCATAAGAAGCCAGGGCCACTCCCTCTGTGTTTATCCAGGGAAACTTGTTCCGAAGCTGCTCAGGAGACATCAGACAAACTTTGGCCCCTTCCTGCCTGAGAGAAATGCATGTCTGCATATGTATTAGAGCGAGTGAGTGTGCAGTGGGGAGAAGCATGTACCCCAACACTAGAGAGGAGAGTCCAGCTCACTGACATCACTTCTTTTCCAAACGCTCCGATTTTTTTCTCACTGGTGAATGGGCAAAGACCCAGCATTCCAGTCAAGGCTCTTTAGCATCTGAATCCTCTTTCCTGCTCTCCACCCTCATCTCCCTCTCAGCTCTTTCTCATCCCTACCCAGTCTATCTCCTTTCATGACAGCATGGAGAACTTTGTTCTCTTCATTCCTGTCCAGAACACATTCCTCTCCACTACCTGGTACAATCCTGTCAACACAAGTGTGTCCTCTGGAACACTGTTCTACAAAGGTAGGAAAATGCAGTTGTTAAAAACAAAACAAACAAACAAAAAAACCATTTGAATGAGCCGGAACACTTGGTTTGAAAAGAATCCCACTGCCACCATTTACTAGGTCCTTGTGCCTTATTTCTCCTCCATGTGAAATGAAGATGTCCCAATGATTAAACAAGCCAGTATCTGTAAAGCATTTAGGACACTGCCTGATGTCACTAGTGAGATTTATTGTGTGTTTGTTAAGAAAGCCTCCGGCCATTAGGTATCACAAAGATGTTTGCCTTTCATGAGGCTCACTTAGGGCAGGGGTTGCCCTAAATCTGATCTGCTGCCTGTTTTTGTAAATGAGTCACACACAATCATTTGTCTATGGCAATTCTGTGCTACAATAGCAGAGCTTAGCAGTTGCAACGGATCAAACAGCTGACAAAACCTAAAATATTTACTATCTGACCCTTTACAGAAACAAGTTTGCTAACTTCTGACTTAGGGGTCTTGTTAAAAGCCCAGATTCCCAGGCCCCTCCCTGGAGATTCTGGGATGTGTACTAGGTGGTTCTTATGAGCTGGCAAACACAGGAACCGCCACCACAATGTCCATAACTGGACTCACCACGGGACATGAAGGTCTGCATGTGCCTGTCTTTCCTGACGGACTGAAGCTCCTAAAAAGGAGGCACCTGTGACACCAACTCCAGCTTCTCTCTCCTAACTTGGTGCAGGAGCTCACGGAAAATTGAGATCAAGCAGCAGCTCAGGGCTGTGCTGGGCACTCACCTCTGCATTCTCACGTTTTTCTCCAGCGTCGCAGCATCCTTTTCTGAAGCCAGCAAGAGATAGCCTGAGGGACTGAACTGGAGATCCAGGGGAGGGGCATCCACTACAGCCAGGTACTCCTGTGTGCAGGAAAAGAAGCTGCTCTCTAAAAAGGCTGACTTAAAGAAGAGAAGGGGGGGGAGTTTCCTGGCCTTCTCATTATGGCTCTCAGGGCTCAGTGTCCAAGACCAGAGAGAAGACCTCCACTAGCACTAACTCTGGGAAGAAAAGCAAGGGTCCCAACTCCTAGCTGCTTGAACTGCTCCTGCTTCCTGGATCCCTTTGCCAGTTGAGTTACTTCTCTTTCTAGTTTAAAGCAGGGGTCACCACCCCAATCCCTTCAAATCTCACTGCATGTACATTGATGTTCCGTAGAAAGTTGATCGAGAAGAGGGAGAGTTGGACATTCTCAGGCAAGGAGAACTGCTGACGAATCCCACCCACAGAAAGCCCCGTGGAAGCCTTGGAATACTGTGGAAAAACAAGAAAAATTGAGGTAGACTAGTATGCTCTCATATGTGAATGGAATTCTGCAATGCAAGCTATGAGTTATATACTGAAAGTTAAAGGAGAATCCTGTTCAAAAGTTTATAATCTAAGAAAAACGGGGGTGGATAAGCTGTATGCAAATCAACTAGCAGCCCAAAGATAAACATAGTGTTTATCACCATTGACAGATGAGCATGGCAAAAAGGGTCAGTCATCTACAAAGGGTTGAATACATTACAACAAAATGGAAATGGCCTGGAAATCCAAGGGCAGGGGACTGAGGTTTGACTACTAATTAGAAAATGAAAGGATATAACCAGAGTACCATGACTTGTGGCTAACAGGTAATAACAAACAGGACCAGCAAATCACAAAAACCTAAAAAATAATGGACTGAGGTTTTCCCTCTCTTCTTTCCTTATTCCTAGAAAAGTCAGTAAGTTATTTTCCTTGCCCCACTCATGACTGCCCTCTCCCAGACCTCACCGTGTAGTCTCGGTCCACTACCAGCACCCGAATGGCACCTTGTTTCTTCTCCAGCTTCTTCAGCCAAAAGGCCACAGACAGGCCAAGTACCCCTCCCCCCACAATCACTACATCGGAGTGTTCAGGGGGCAGATGGCTGGTGTTATAAAGTGAATCCCGGGTCTTTCCAGGCAGGATTGACTGGATGGTCTTCTTTATCTTGGACACCTTTCCATCCCAGCCTGTGGGACATAGTTATAGCTAGCACATGTTTCCTTCCCACGTGGAGGATGGGCACAGGAAAATGTAGGCAAAATAGACACTTGAGTTGGCAATCCCTACTGTCATCTCTTTCTCATAAGGTCATCCCACCCAGCAGTATCGTCACAGCTTTGCTGCAGGTCTATATACCATTAGTCTCCCTTTTTATGTGTCATGCCCAGCACTGCAAGATTCAACTTCCTAAAATTATTACTTTTCACTTTCTCTGTAAACTAGGTGACTCACATACATATGTATCGCTTGCACAGACTTCTTTCCCTCCCCAAACCCGGATATTCAACTGCACTACAATCTTCATTATGGCATTCCAGGACTACAGGACAATAGTTTCAGGCATACACCCCATGCTGCGGCGCCTTCTAAAGCCTGGTACCTCTAAGTGGCCCCTATTCCTGGATATCCATTACCACCAGCAAGCCTCCATCTACACAGGATTTTTCCATTGAGAAGAGCCTCCTTGGGATCTGTACACCTACCCGGGTTCTGTAAGTTCTGGAAGGCATGCTTACCCTCTTCCCGCAGCAGACCCACTGTCCTGCCAGCGTAGGCCCTGAAGGTCACAAAGCTGGAGGCTGTGGGCACCCAAGAACCATACCCCCTGCCGACTTCAACTTTACCCAGAATTGAGCTGCTTCTGCGCGTGCCTAACCTCTGGAATAAGAGGCCCGGGCCGGAGCTGAACTGCAAAGCCCGCCGAAACATAACCCTTCAGAACCCAACGTTCCCTCCTTAGTCCTGAAGTCCCGGTCGTCACCGTCCCGCGCCACGGTGAGTTGGGACGAGCGCGCCCATTGGCCAGCAGTCTTCTCCAGGCCCCACCCTTGCACGCTATAGGGAGCCGTCTCCTCGTGACCGCCTCCGGAAACCCTCCCAGACCTGCCCCCACCCGCCATTGGCCTACCTAGCATTGTGTCACTTCTGTGCGCTCTAGGCGGAGCAGGGGCGGGAACCCGGCCACTCGGAGCGGAAGTGCAGCTGAACCAGTTTCCGGGGCCGCTGGTGTGACGTGTCCCGCGCTTGGCGCAGCAGGAAGCGGCGGCGATCGCGGCCTGAGTTCCCAGCGCCGGCCCGACTCGTCTCCCGCTGCCGCCATGCTCGACTTCTTCACCATTTTCTCCAAAGGCGGACTTGTGCTCTGGTGTTTCCAGGGCGTGAGCGACTCTTGCACCGGACCCGTTAATGCGTTGATTCGTTCCGTGCTGCTGCAGGTACCAAACCCCGCAGGAACAGAACTCCGAGCTCTTTCTCCCCGACCCGGTCCATAGTCCGCCTTCGACTAATCATCTCTCTCCTCCTTCCCATCCTCTCTGCCCACCTCGAACTGGTCACTCACCGGTCACCTGGACAAAACTTTTTTCCGCCCCCATCAGTCTACCGCGCAACTTTGCGACGCCCCCAGCCAGCAGCGTATGGGACTGTAGCCAGACTTGGACGCCTTTTGGGGTTTCCCTCCGCGCTCTATGCTCACTGCTTTGGTTTTCTGTTTAGAGGCTGGGTGAGACTGTGGATGGGAAAACACCTTTAAGAAACTAAATGGTAGTTGATCTGATTGGTTGTTTCCCTTCTAGCTCCCACTTGTCTTGCCTTCCCCTTTTCCCCGTTTCCTGGTGGGATGCTAGAAAAACGCCGCAGCCGCCTCTTGTCCTAGGGTCAGGTTCACTTTGAGGGGACTACTTCTTTCCCAAAGGTAATCCTCGAGGGGTCCACATCTGGGTTTTCTGAACAATCAGACATACTCTTTCTTTCCTAGGAACGGGGAGGTAACAACTCCTTCACCCATGAGGCCCTCACACTTAAGTATAAACTGGACAACCAGTTTGAGCTGGTGTTTGTGGTAAGTATTTTGTGGGCCATTTTAGAGGGACGGTGATGACATTCTCAACATAGTCCTTATGAAGAACCCTGATTAATTGCACCATATATGTGAGGAAGTAATAGAAAATTAGGAAGGTGGAGGGGGGAAAAGGAAAGAATTTTGAGCCAGGCAGAGCTTGGCTGCCTCTCAGGACAGGGAAACCTGCCAGGTGGCTGGAACTATCTGGAGAACTGGGTTGAGTTGGCTTCTCTCCATTCTGGGCTGACATGTAAGCAGATCTGTTGGCTCTACTGCCTCCCCTGAACAGGTTGGTTTTCAGAAGATCCTAACACTGACCTACGTAGACAAGTTGATAGATGATGTGCACCGGTTGTTCCGAGACAAATACCGCACAGAGATCCAACAACAAAGTGCTTTAAGTCTATTGAATGGCACTTTTGATTTCCAAAATGATTTCCTACGGCTCCTTCGGTGAGACTTCCCCTCTCCAAAATCCATTTCCATTACTTGATGAGTTCCCTTCCTGAAGGTGGTTCAAGGGTAGTAAATCCTGGGTTCAAAGCCACCTCTCATTTGTTGCCCACTTCTGATTATCCTTTTGGTATGCGGGACCTTTCTCTGGAATCTGATTTTTTTTTTTTCCCCTTACTGCATTCAACCATTCCTTTTCCCTTTAGTGAAGCAGAAGAGAGCAGTAAGATCCGTGCTCCTGCTATCATGAAGAAATTCGAAGATTCTGAAAAGGCCAAGAAACCTGCGAGATCCATGATTGAAACAAGAGGGGAAAAGCCCAAGGAAAAATCAAAGAACAGCAAAAAAAAGGGGGCCAGGAAGGAAGGTGTGTTTGAGCTCCTTGGACATACTAGGGCATGAAAGGTGTAAAATGGTGCTAAGGACTGAGGCACTCTTTTCTTTCGTCATTGCTTGCCTACTTCTGACTCAAGTGCTTACCACCATATCATCCCAAGGCATTGGCATCCCCAAGATGCCAAGTTTCCTCTTAAGGAGTTGGAAGAATATTGTCTAGTTGGTTGGGATTTGGTCTTTTTTTTCTCCAGTGAGGTTTCTCGTAACAGGTTCTGATGGCCCTTTAGCTGCCAGCAAAGCAGCCCCTGCAGAAAAGTCAGGTCTCCCAGTGGGGCCTGAGGATGGAGAACTTTCCAAAGAGGAGCTGATACGCAGGAAGAGAGAAGAGTTCATTCAGAAGCATGGGAGGGGTCTGGACAAATCCAGGTGAGTGTTCTAACTTTTAATAGTCCTCTCTATAGACTGTTATCTGTGTTGGGGGGACAGGGAGCTGTTTCTGGCTCATGTTGTGTTACTTTACCATAACCATTTGTCCTGTGACCCACTGTAGCAAGCCCATGAAGTCAGATGCTCCAAAGGAGAAGGGCAAAAAAGCGCCGCGGGTATGGGAACTAGGTGGCTGTGCTAACAAGGAAGTCTTGGATTATAGTACTCCCACCACCAATGGAACCCCAGAGGCTGCCCTTTCTGAAGACATCAACTTGGTAAGAGGCAACAGGGGCCAGAGTGAAGGCCACCATTAATTAGAAGTTGGAAAGGAAGTAGAAACCAGGAGAGTGATACTTGGATTTCTCTTAATGAAAGAGTGAATTACATGTGGAGCTTCCCCAAGTCAGACAGCAGCAGTGTGGACAAAGTAAATCCTGGGCTCTTTTCCCTCAGAGCCCATAGTGTTCCAGACCCCATCTCCTACCTTACTCCTTGTCCTACAGATTCGAGGAACTGGGCCTGGGGGACAGCTTCAGGATCTGGATTGCAGCAGCTCAGATGATGAAGGGGCTGCTCAGACCTCTACCAAACCTAGGTATGGTATGTGTTTTACAAAACTGGTGTCATAAGTCCTGCCTGTGGGCTTCATGTGTATTTGTGATCTCCTGTGCCTGCAGTGCTACCAAGGGAACTCTGGGTGGCATGTTTGGGATGCTGAAGGGCCTTGTGGGTTCCAAGAGCTTAAGTCGTGAAGACATGGAATCTGTGCTGGACAAGATGCGTGATCATCTCATTGGTAAGTTCTGAAGAGTGGGCTTGCACGGTCCTGTGGGTAAGGCTGGTTGGGAGCAGAACACAGTTTCTTATCTGTACCATGAAGTGAGTCACTGTTGATCCAGAACTCACATACCCATTCCCTTCTTCACAGCTAAGAACGTAGCTGCAGACATTGCTGTCCAGCTCTGTGAATCTGTTGCCAGCAAGTTGGAAGGGAAAGTGATGGGGACATTCAGCAGTAAGTATCTGCATAAGCCAAAACATACTTATGCATACCAGGAGGTTCATTCAGGGACCTTCATCTTTACTAGTTATGTGACTTAGCAAATTCCTTTACTTTTGAACCTCTATTATGTAACCTAGACTTCAGGAATTATTACGAAGATTAAATGTTACTAGTACTTAAAAAATGCTTAGAACAGTATGGTCTAGATGCCTGGGACAAGATCCTAGCTAGCATGGTTCTAGGTCCCTTAGCTCAGAAAGGTATTGGGTATTTCTGAGTATATTCCTTAGGTTCATGGCTGGTTTCCCTCTATCTCCCTTTTCAGCGGTGACCTCCACGGTCAAGCAAGCTCTACAGGAGTCCCTGGTGCAGATTCTGCAGCCACAGCGTCGTGTAGACATGCTCCGGGATATCATGGATGCCCAGCGTCACCGGCGCCCTTATGTCGTCACCTTCTGTGGTGTTAATGGAGTGGGGAAGTCTACTAATCTTGCCAAGGTCAGCACAGTTCACTAGCTTGTAACTGTACTTCTTCCACTCTCCATGTCTTAGTGAATTTTCTTAACTCTTTCATAGATTTCCTTCTGGCTGTTAGAGAATGGCTTCAGTGTCCTCATTGCTGCCTGTGATACATTTCGTGCCGGGGCTGTGGAACAACTACGCACTCATACACGGCGTCTGACTGCCCTGCACCCCCCAGAGAAGCATGGTGGTCGCACCATGGTGCAGTTGTTTGAAAAGGGCTACGGCAAGGATGCTGCTGGAATTGCCATGGAAGCCATTGCCTTCGGTACAGTGTGTGGGGAATGTGGAGGCTTTGGGCATTTCTCCTTGAAATTTGTAGAAAGGGTCAGACTTGCACCACTGTGAACTTGCCCCTCAGTAACAAAGTCAGGAGTAGTCACTTACCAGACTCTTGCTTTTGGATAATTTGTACAATTGTGGGTGAAGCTAGTAAGAGAGACCTGAATTTGGACACTTTTATCCTACTTCCTTCCTTTCCCAAACATTTTTGGTGGTGGCCAAGAATACATAATCCAGAGCCTGATTAAGTGGAGAGATAAGCTTTTCATACAGACAGATGAGGATCTCTTGAGAGCAAGCTGGAAGTGAGCATCAGGGAGTCTGAGTTGGGTGTCAGGACTTGACTGCTTTTTCTCTCTCTAGCACGCAACCAAGGATTTGACGTCGTGCTGGTGGACACAGCTGGCCGCATGCAAGACAATGCCCCCCTGATGACTGCCCTGGCCAAACTCATTACAGTCAACACACCTGACTTGGTGCTGTTTGTGGGGGAGGCCTTAGTTGGCAATGAAGCTGTGGACCAGCTGGTGAGGATTTGGGCCTAGTTTCCTTTGCAATTTAAACTCTGGCAAATTAGATGGTTCTTGTACTTTTATCACCTCTTACCTTTTTCTTTTCCAGGTCAAGTTCAACAGAGCCTTGGCTGACCATTCTATGGCCCAGACACCTCGGCTCATCGATGGCATTGTCCTTACCAAATTTGACACTATTGATGACAAGGTAAATGTAAATGATACAGGACGGTGAGACTGGAGGGAGGAAGGAATGGGCTTCCTTCAAAAAGAAGTTGAGACTTTATCCTCTTTTCTCCACATCAGGTGGGAGCTGCCATTTCTATGACGTACATCACAAGCAAACCCATTGTCTTTGTGGGCACTGGCCAAACCTACTGTGATCTACGCAGTCTTAACGCCAAGGCTGTGGTGGCTGCCCTCATGAAGGCTTAATGTGGCTCTTGCCTAATACCAAATCGCCGCTTCCCCCAAGTCCCTATTTCTGTTGTCAAGAATGTGCTTTAGAGTATGTGAGCAACTTGTCTTCAGTTTCAGTGTAGTTCAAAGGCAGAGTAAGGAGAGCTCCAGGGGCTTAAAGCTCCCTCTAACCCCACTCCCCTGTTCAACCCAGCCCCCACCTGCAAGGAGGGCCTAATCATGTCACAGTCACTGCCCACTCACCCCCCTTCTCCCCGTGAGCCTCCTCTTCCTACTTGGGCATCTCCTTCACTCTGCCTGCAGACTCCGTCTCATTACAGCTTTGACCAATGGTTGGAAGATCAAATACTTAGAGCTTTGATAATTAGTGTGGCCACAGAGCCATCTGAGTTAAGGAACAGTTTGAAGTCCCAGCTTCATTAGGTTAAGAGACTCTTCCAGAGCCAGCTCTGGGTCTTGAGTGGCACCTCCCCTGGGATACACAGCATTCAGGTTCCTTGCGCTAGGACGACACCCACCTCACTGTGGCAGTGTGTGGCCTGTTCTTACTTGCTGCTATTTCTAAATCTGATGATGATCCCTACCCTGTTGTTTCCCAGAGCTTCAGTTAGGTCAGAATGATTTGTTACAAATGAGTGAAAGGTAAGTCCCTGCTTCCCTCAGAAACAAAGGGAGCTGAGCTACAGTGTTGCATTGGGCTTTTCAGCCTTCTAGCTCTTCCCCACTTCCAAAATCCAGATGTAAGCTTTGCATGTTCCCTTCCTTGGGAGAAAGCCAATTGTCAGAAGGGTAGCTGTTACCCCTTTTCCCCTACCACCCTTTGCCTCCTGAGCAGGTCCTGGCTTTCCTCAAGCCCTCTCTTCTACAGTGCCTGGTAGACAAGTGCTACATTGAAGAATATAAACCTCTTGTTAAGATTTGTCCCATAGCTTGGTATTACAAATGTGCTATTAGTGCAATAAGGTGAAGGCTGTCTGCCCAGAGAAATACATAATTTATATAAGAAAATAAATTTCATAAATAAATTGCCTCTTGGGTCTTGAAGTTATTTTATATAGGATTCAGAATTAAAATCCCAAATCACACTATAGTTCTGGGACTTATTTATAGTAAGAAAGGCAGCGGAGCAAGAACTGATAATGCTCCAAGGAAAGAGGTTAAGTAAGTGGTTGTTCCCAGAATGAGTCACCCCACCCAAGCGGAAAACATAACTTTAAATTTTGAGTTATAAAAAAATAGGCTTCTTAGTACCTCAGTGCAAGTTACCCTTCTACAATGACTCAAAGTAGAGCCAGGGCCCTGGCAAGTAAATGAACAAGCTTTTAATACAGCTCAGTTATGTAAAATACTGTACACTGTAAAAGATCTAGAAAACTAGAGCTTCCAAATCATGTTTTAAAAAACACCATTAAGCTTAATTGAAAAACCACAGAGTACAAAACTGCAACAAGAGCCCGCTGACTCCATGACTTCTAGCTCCCCAAGTCCTTCCTGCAGAGCTGCAGCCACAGGCAGTGGAGGCATCACACTGGTCTGTGTGGACATGGGCACATCCAGCCTGGGAGTGGGTGGGGGCTGCAATGGGTTGCGATGTCACTTAGGTGGTATGAAGGAAAAGATGAAACACCCCCCACATCCTATCCCCAAACTTCAACCTCTGGATATTGGTACTTCCTGGGAGCTGTGCTGGGTTCTTGTAAGTTTGCTTGTTAAACACTGTCCACAGGAGGGCCTTACAGCATGGTCTAAACATGATTTCTCTAGTGCACTCATGTACTACAGCCTGGGGAGAGAAAGAAAAGGTAGAGAATGGAACAAAGTTTCACAAAACAGATTTATGCATCTAAAGCTGCAGATACTTAAAAGTCAGTCTAACCCTTATAGGAGGCAAAATGGGAGATTCTAGGAATCTTCTAATAGACTTGATAGGAAAGAGTATCCTTAATAGGTGGGAAAGGTAAATTATGGTTTTCCACAGTCTTAAGACGTTTTAGAAAACCTCTGCTGACAGTGATAAAACAGTAGCATAGGAAATAGCATACCTCTTATTTCACCATGTGCTGCAGATGAACCATTTAGCTGGCCTTCTCTCACCACCCCTGCTAAATACAAAGTACATCAGTATCAGACAGTAGGTTTTTTGTTTTCTTGAGATGGGTCTCACATGTTCCCAGGCTAGCTGCTTGAATCGAGATCCTCTAGCATTAGTCTTCCTGGTAGCTGGGATTCGTTGCCACTAGGCCTGGGCAAGATTTCTTGTAACAAAACATTTTAAATAGGCAAAATATGTCTGCTGTCTCTGAGTGGTTTTTACCAAGTAGCTAAAAAAATTCTATATGATCAGACATGGCAGTGGGTGAGCAAATTCAGCCAAGTGTAAGAGTGAAAAATAGCAGCTAGCCCCAGAAAATGGGCTAGATCTGTGCTAGGAAATGGTACCACTAGCCACTTACAGTTCAGTTCTGTTCCTCAGTCATACTAACTATATTTCAAGTGCTAAGTAAGTATATGTGGCTTATGACTCCAGTACTGGACAGTGAAGATCATAGGATACTTTTACAATTGCAAAACATTCTATCAGACAACACTCAGCAAATAATAGTGTAGGAAAAAGTAAAAAACTTGAGCATGCAAGAAAATAATTAGAAATACAGCCAGAACATAGACATGAAACTAAAACATAACAGATTGGCTTTCACCCTCTTGGAAAGCAATTGATTAATATTTATCAGTCACTAAAATATTTATGCCCTTTGACCTACTAATGACACTGAGAACTCATGGAAAGGAAATTACTGGCAAAAGGAAAAACTAGGGATAAAGATGTTATTTATTTCATTTATAATATAAAAAAAACTAAAATTGCCTAACGGGAATAATTAGGTAAATTGTAAGATCCACAATTTAGCAGTTAAAACAGTTAAAAAAACAGTGGCTAATGATGAAAAATGTGTGTTGTACTACTGAATTTAGTGGTACACCACTATAATCCCAGCACTTGGAAATCTGAGGCAGATGCTCATGAATTTGAGGTTAGTCTGGATTACGTAGATAGTTCAAGGCCAGCTTGGGACCTACGGTGAGAACCAGTATCAAAAAAAAAAAAAAAAATACAGAATCTACATATACTTTGTGTACAATATGAAAAAAGTACATATTGTTTTTACTATTAATCAGAAATACTGAAATAACTGCTGTGTGGTAATGAATTAGTTATTTTCTTTTCCCCATTCTATGATTTTTCTGAAGGTATGTACCAAATACTACAGAATCCTTTGAAAATGAGTAATTTTCACTATGCAAAAGGTAAATACACAGCCCAATGCCAGCCACACAGCGAATGCTCAGTATTAAAAAATGACTAACATGGGACCAGGTGAAATGGGTCATACCTGTCATCCCAGCTACTTGGGAAGTGGAGATCAGGAGGACTGAGGTTCAAGGCAAGCCTTGGCAAAAAGTGAGCTCCCATTTCAACAAATAAGTCAAATGTGCTGAGTACGTGCAATCCCACCTAGTCAGAAGGTAGGAAGATTGTCTGAGGTCCATTCCAGGCAAAAATACAAGACCCTATCTGAAAAATGACTGAAGGAAGAAAGGGTTGGGGATATGGCTCAAGTGATAGAGCACCTACCTGCCTATCAAGCACAAAGCCCCGAGTTCAAACCCCAGTAATACATGCACACATGTGCACACACACACAAAGACCAACAGCAAAATACTTTTGACTTACTATTAGTACACATCTAGAGAGACTCAAAATATACCCAAAGTTGGAAGATAAACTTGACTCATCTCAAAATGAAATACAGCTTCACCTCACACAGCTCTGCTAGGTTTCAAACTACCTGGCTGGTGAGAGGGAGTCTGAAGCTAGGGCCTGGAGTTTACCAAGGCATGTACTGTACCACTTGAGCCATACCCCCAGCCTTTAGTATTATTTTTCAGGTAGGGTCTTGAATTTTTTGCCCTGGCTGGCCTCAGATCATGAGTCACGCCCGCTGCATAGGCGAGATGATAGGCACCAGATTATTGGCTGAAATGGACTCTTGCTTTTTGCTCAGGCTGGCCTCGAACCTCAATCCTCCTGATCTCTGCCTCCCAAGTAGCTGAGACTATAAATGTGACTCACTGTACTCAGTCCCTTGGCCATCCTGAAAAATGTTTATTTTAGAAAGCACAGAATGACTTCTGACTGAATTTTGTTGAAAACCACTCATAGGAAGCCTACACAGCTCCTAATAGACTCTTTGCCACTCCAGAGCATTTATGTTTTTTATTAAGATTAAATGCAATAGCTGGGCGATGGTAATCCTAGCTACTTGGGAGGTTGAGATCAGGAGGATCACGGTTTGTGGACAATCTGGGAAAATAATGTGCAAAACTCCATCTCCAACATAATCAGAGCAAAATGAACTGGAGGTGTGGTTCAAGCAGTAGAGCACCTGCTTTGCAAGCATGAAGCTCTAAATTCAAATCCCAGTCCCACTCAAAAAGATTTAATGAAACAGAAAGTTATCCAGAGGGATTTTGTTTTGTTTTGTTTTAAAATGTAGCAGCTTTCCTGGGTATATCTCACAATACAGATTAAAAGAAATATACACAGCTTGAGTGTGTCTTCTTTTAATGAAATCAGAACTCATGAAATGGAAAAACCAATCCACAGTCTCAAGTGTGGCAAACTCCAGAGTCTGGAATACTGAGGAACACCAGAAATGTTCCTCAAGCAAGAAAAGCAAATACTTTTAGGGCTGGGGTGTGGCTCAAGTGATAATAGCACCTGCCTAACAAGTGTAAGGCCCTGAGTTCAAACTCCAGTACTAGCAAAAAATAGTTTTCACAAAAGAGACCACCCAAAAAGTTGTTTTCCTGAGAGTTTTCTAAATCTCTGGAGGAAGGGTATGCACAGTCTGTAGTGTTTAGTTACAGTATGGCTTTGAAAAGTCTTAGTCTATCAAAGAACAGCCATGGCAGGACTTGAGGATTTCATTACAGGAGAATTCCACTTGAAGACATCTGATTCAGCAAAGAATCCTGAGAATTATTAGCTTTAAGAAAAGCTGGGGTTTCCTTTAATGCTGTTTATTTGCTTTTCTTGGATTGAACCCAGGGTCTTATGCTTGCAAGGCAAATGCTCTACCACTGAGCCATACCTCTAGCCCAGGGAAAAAGTCCTTTACATATCAAATTGCCTGTGTTTTAATAGGCCTCCTAAGATGCATTCAAATTGACAATGAAAGTACTTATTAAAAAGTTTTCCAGTGACATATTCTGTGTATAAAACCAGCAAAATTTCTTTAGAACTGGGTGGGTAAGCCAGAATGTCCATATCCTGGAGCCTGGCTTTATTCAATGTGAGGTATGGTTTTTTTTGGTTGTTTTTAGGCTGGGATCTCTCAGTGCTGACTAGGTTGATCTTAAACTTAAGAGATCAACCCATGTTCCCACCTCAGCCTCCTAAGTAGATGAGACTAAAGGTACATACTACATCCAGCTCTATGTCAAGTTTTTAAAAACCATTCCTCAATTTAGCTAGCATCAAAACGTTGCATTTTGTGGGGTTACTGGGAGTTTGTCTGTAGCCATTAATAAACTCAACCTTTGATCGTCATCTTGTTCTTTCCCTGTTAGAACCAGGAGGTAAGATATCAAGTGAGTGTTTACCTCTGTTACCAAAACAGTTTTGAAACAGCATTTTATAAGTTTGTTTTCTGTTTATAAAAATAATTATAGCAGAAATAAAAACTAAAAACTAAAGAATAAAAAACTAAAACTAAGTCCTACTGCATGAAGCTAACAGTTAAGCCAACATAATTCCAAATATTTCTACACACACACACACACACACACACACACACACACACACACACTATACCTACAACATTGTATGAGTGAGAATGATGTGTTTATAACCTGTTGGTTTTCCCTTATACTTGTTATGTCTCTTTTTTTTTTCCTGAAGACAGAGTCTTGCCATATAGCCCAGGCTGGCCTCAAATTCGTGTCTTCTTGCCTCAGCTTTGAGTGCTGGGATTATAAGAGTGTGCCACCAGGCCCAGCTGAAATCTTAGAGCAATTTCATTTCCCCTTTTATGGTTTCACTGTATTTCATCAATTAAATAAATGGTGGTATATCTGGAGACTCTATTGCTGACTGGAAAATTTTAGGTGCTTTCCAATTTTACTGCCAATATGTTCAACACAGGTTACAGTCTCACACCTATGTCTTAATGCAATTTTATGTTCAACCACATAGTTATTTCCATAGAAGAAATTTCTTCTAAGAAAAAAATTTTTTTTTGTGGTGCTACAGTTTGCACTCAGGGCCTTGTGTTTGCTAGCCAGGCACTCTAGCACATAAGCCAAGCTCTTAGCCCTAAGAAAAATCATACTAATATAACTTCTGGGTCAATATTTGAATATTTTTGATACACATTCTAAATGTGCCTTCACAGAAGCTGTAGTAACTTTTACCTTTCCACCAACATTACATGAAAAAATTTCTTTCTTCACAGCTTTAGCCAAAACTGAATGATCATTCTCTGTTTTGAAATCTAAATGCTAAGTGCGTTTCACTGGTAACTAGGGAGGCTGAGCATCTGTACATGTTTTCATTCTTCCCCTGTCTATAGAAGATGCTAGAGTATGCTTTGTGCCCCTTTTCCCATTATCCAAGTGGCATTTTAGTCTAATCTGAAGACTGGTCAGGCACTACACTCATTATAGGTAATCTGTCACACACACACAAAAGGCCAAAGGGCTATTGCTCTCTGGGCCCTTGGCCTCAAATGCACCTTACCTGATGATCTACCCCTTGTGGAGATCTCACTTGTCAGTCGCTTGAAATATTCCGGGAGATCAGCATAGTCATTTCCATAGGAGATGACCTTAATCCCTTTGTCCAGCATGTTTTCTCGAAGCTTCTTGAACTCATCTACATCTCCTCTCCGAACCAGCATGAAATGTTCTAAGTCAGATTTATGCTTGACAGCCTCCAGGAAGAGGGCCTGGAAAGTGGTGTCATCCACAGTCCAGCCACAACCCAGGAAAAGAAATGACTTATTTTCATAGAGTTTTTGAATCTCCCTCTTGAAGGAAAAAAAATAACACATTAATGACACTAATTAGGACAGACACTGCTAAATTTAGCAGACGATAGTGACTAAGTAAGGAAGATTTAAGAGGGTAGGTACATCCCATGACCTGCTTTTTACTGTGACTTGATGAGTGGTCTAACATTTTATCTTTACCTGGCATTCTTCTGTAGGCTCTCTCATCAGAGTTTCACAGGACTGGAACTGGTCTAGTAGTCTTGTAGTTTCTTTGTTTTTTTTTTTTTTAATTTATGTGCCCTGAAGTCATGAGGCAACTAGTTGGTCTTCAATACATCTTACTGTCTCCACTTTCTGGCCATAGTTGACTTACAAATGAAACCATGGACTATCAGAGAATAGAATTCCTTCACTAGATTTGCTCAAAGAAAGTCTGATTAGAACACTGACATGCGTGTGCATGTTGTGTGCATATGTACATGTGTATATTAAGTACATACACACACACAAATATAAAAAGAAATGATTTTGCCCAAGAGGTCACTTCATCAGTGATGGCTGCAGTGACAGAAGATGTTAGGGAAAGAATAAACCCCACATGCCTTAGAAACATCACATCTCCTGGTTTTTCTTTGGCTATGCCCTGTAAAGACACTACCAGTCTATGTGATCCAGGAACCAACACTGAGTTGGAAACCAGTGAACTTTTACACATATCACTGGTCAGGAAAAAAAAAATCAATAAACACGAAGAAGAAAATCTCCCATTTTATCACCCTGGCCATTTTTTTCTTGTTTTTTCCCACTGAGCAGTAAGTGTGAAAAAGTATAGTTCATTCAATGTAAGCCACTGTCACTTATAGAATGTATATTCTAGTAGCAGTTGATTTGTAAAGAGCTACCTAAACTATTTTGGGCATGGCAGTATTTAAAAAATCAAATGAGAAAGACGGGTACTAATGTATTCTTCATATATGAAGGCAATGCCAACAACAGAGTGCCATCTACTGGAGAACCTCTGGTCTGACACCTGAAGGGAACTTCTGAGTTTCCTAGGATGGCACCCACAGGCTAAGAGGCACAGGAAGAATGAATGACCTTCCAGCATTTTTTTATGTTTCTGGTTGTTTTTTAGTTTTTTTTTTTTTTTCTTTCTTTCTGTTAAACTGTACAGCCCAGGCTGGACTGAAATTCACTATGTAGTGAAGGGTGGCCTAGAACTCATAATCTTCCTGCCTCTGCCTCAAGAGTGCTGGGATTACAGACGTGTACCACCACACTTGACTTGATCTTCCAGTTTTTGATTAATGAAAAGACAATGGTCTTCCTTTAAGAACATCACATGTTCAAGCGATGTCTCTAGAAAGTAGTTCCTGAGCCCAGCAAGATCAGTACCACTCACCATAACTTCAGTGTTCCTGAGCACATTCTGATATCCAGCTGGATGGAGGACAATGCCACTAGGGTTGGTATAGACCCCATGGATGTGTAACACACTCAGCTTCCGCTTCTCCTGGGCCCACTCCAGGACCTGCGTAACACACACAGAGCTTAACCAGGGTGGCATGGTAAGCACCTGCTTCAAGGTATCAATGGGTAAGAGGCTGTTTGAGGACCAGACTTCTAACATAACTCTCCAGCCTCATCTCACAGGACAAGAATGCAAAACCGCTTCAGATATGACTGTCAAGAATGATGGCAACAAGTCTGGTGATTTCTCTTTGAAAGTAAAAACCAGAAATTAGAATTTGTCATAATTGCAGAATATGGGCCCTTGTCGCTGGTGATAAAGAGTACTCTAGACTCACATCAGTGATGGCCTCAGGCCCATGTGTAGTTCTTTTTTGGTGACTCCAGGCTGGTCACACAGCCTGTTTTAGCTAAGGATATTAGCAAACAGGATACAAGCAGAAGCTTGAAAAGTGTTGGTACAATGAGCCCTATTTCCTCTGCTGCTTTTGGAGCCCAGCTGTTATGTGCAGAAGCCTAGACTAGCCTGCTAGAAATGTTCAGCCCAGCCAACTGCCTGCCTTTACCCAGAGAAAACAGACTTCAAGGCACCACTTCTCTGAATTCAATTCCCTCTCAAAACCCGGCTTCCACATCAACAAAACCACAAGACTAGTATTCTAGCCACTCATCTGGCAGAGGCAGGACTGTGGCAATGCATGCTAATGGGTGACTTATCTATTCAGGCTATTTAGATTGAACACAAGGCAGGGTCTAGAGGAAAACAAAGCTTAGAATGACGACTACAAAAGGCATAGCATAGGGCAAATGAGACTTTAAGCCTTCAATCTCATTATACTGATAAAGATCAACACATTCAATTCAGGATTATAGTGGATGGCACAGCTATCTTTGGAAAAATCTGGTAAGGCCTCAACTCAGCATTAACCTCAACCTTCAAGCTGGCACCTGGTTTAGAACTCGTTCTTCCAAACATCATAAAGTCATTTTTATATATTTCCAAAAGATGCCATAAAGAATGTATCCTAGGAGAGAACACTAAATAATTACACCACTTGACACTATCCAGTGCTCAAGAGATCTTGCAGTACAAACAACTTCCTCTAATCTTGCCTTTAAAACCAAGTGAAGCAGCTGGGTGCTGGTGGCTCCTGTAACCCTACTCACTTGGGAGACTGACATCAGGAGGATTGAGGTTTGAGGCCAGCTGAGAGAAATAATTTGCAAAACCTCATTTCCAAAATAACCAGAGCAAAACGGACTGGAGGTATAGCTCAAGCAGGTCAAACCACAGTCCTACACCCCCCCCCAAAAAAAAATACAAGCAGAGAACACAACCTTCCTTTTTCATGCTATATCAATACCAATATGCCAACCCAAATTAGCTTTCCTGATGAAGACACAACCCACTAGCTTCAGAAGAGACTCATGCTTATGTTTCACCTTTTTCTCATCAGTAAGGTCAAGGGATTCAAGCTGTTTTCCCTGGTCTGCCGCATACAGTTCCAGAAGATTATCAAAATTCGTAGTTAATACTAGGGCCCCATTTTCCATCAGGTGGAGAACTGATTGCAATAGCTGTTTTCCAGAATCTTCCATCTTTGACTCCAGGTCATCAAATACTTCATATAAACAGTCTTTGAAAAATGTGGATCGAACATTACTGGTACGCTGGGGAGGAATTTGAAAGAAGAAAATTAATCCAAAGTGTTTTGGTAGATGACTTGTTTTTGTTATAATAGTAACAAAATTTTGAAGACTACTTTGTGATAAACATTATCAGTCTCATCGGATTATAATGAGGAAAAAATGGGATGACACATGCCAAGCACAAAGCCTAGCACACAGTAAGTGATCAGCACTGTTACATCTTATGCAAATAACCTAATCTCTCTGAATAGACATTTTTTTATAGAAGGAAGAGAATGGGCATGGCTAAGAGATGTAAATTTATTATTATAATTAAAAGAGGAGAAAGGTTACTGCTCCTCACTATTTCCTTTTGAACTTGTGATTCCAAACGACTCTTATTTGGGAAAGGAAGAAGAGCTACACTAGGGTTTTGGCCATTGACCTAATAGTTGACTTGGAGTCCTTTAATTAGTTACAAGAGGGGATTGGTTCTCCCTATGAACACGGGCTGCTCTTGAATACTGGATCCTTCTGCCTTGGTCTCCTGAGTACTGAGATCTGTCACCATGACCAGCTCTTGTCTCCTTTTCTTAATGGCTACTTAGTCAGAAGTGTGCTGTTCCAGTATTAAGGACATTAGAATCATCTGCAAATTGCCTAGAAATGAAAATTTTCCTTCTTGTTTTTTGAACTCAGGACTTTGCATTTGCAAAGGTGCTCTACTACTTCAGCTGCCTCCAGTCAAGAAATATAAATTTTCACATCATTGCAGATTCACATCTTCAAAAGTGACAAGGCCTCCCTTGGCCAGGTGCCCAATGAAATTTTTTAAGGAATTCAGGAAAACAGGTCTATTAAGACAATAAGAGATAAATGGGTAGGTCAGAGGTCCTTTGCCCTAGCACCTCCCAAACAGTGACCTCTTCAGAGGGCCTACAAAGTGGAAATGTGTCATGCTGGCACAAGACACTACTTGACTTGTTTTTACCAATCTTGAAACTATAGCACTGCCAGTCATGTTTTTGAATGCGTGGGCTGAAGATGCATATAGCTAGATGTCCTTAGAGAATCCATGTTGGCTTGGGTTTTCTGCTATAAATATCTGTGTTGTACATAACAAATCTGAGATTGAATAAGTAAAAGTTGAAATTAAAAAAAAAGAGAATTAAAGGAGACCTGGGGTAGAACTTTTAATCAGGCCTCAGACAGATGCAAATGTGGTTTAACTCCTTTCCTGTCTTAGGTGTTTTGTACAGCTGTTTATGGAGTAAGGAAAAACCATTTAACATCTCCCTGCCTTTTTTTTTCCAGTCTAATTCAGCAATCTGCTCACAGGTTTGGTATAAAGAATATCTAAGTATACCTACAAGTTATTACAAAAAGTTTAGTAAGTTGTTACAGTTAAAATTTACATTTTTGCAACTGTTTGTTGGTTTGTTTCTGTAGTGCTGGGGAATCAAACCCAGGACCCTGTGCATGCTAGACAGGTGTTGTACCACTGAGCTACATGCCCAGCCTGTAATCATTACAAATACTAACCACTAGTCAGTTTGAAATGGACTATTTCTTAACAATGGTTTAAGTAACATAACTGCCTTCCTAGCTTCATTTTTAATACATGTCAATAAGTCTTGGGTTGCATAACAATATTTTAATCAATGACAGACCACATAGATATACCATGGTAGTTTCATACGACTATTATGTCGTGGTGATATACAGTTTTTTTTTGTTTGTTTGTTTGGTTTTTTTGCAGTACTGGGGTTTGAACTCAGGGCTTCACGCTTGCTAGGCAGACACTCTACCACTTGAGACACTCCACCAGCCCTGATGTGGACATCTTAATTTGTGCAAGTACACTCTATGGTGTTTGTACAACAACAAATGGCCTAATGCTGCATTTCTTAGAATGCATCCTATCATTAAGCAATGCATGACTGTACCTCTAAGGACTAATTAGAAAATATAATGCCAACTTCAAGTGAGAAATTCACTTTATACTTAAAGGACAAAGTGACTGTCCTCTGGGACAAAAGGCATTTGAGATGGAAAAGTATCTATGTTAACACGTTGTAATAAATATCTCACCTCTAGTCTATCCCTAAAATATATTCTACAAGATAATCAGAACAACAATTAACTTGTTTTTCAGATGGGTCTCACTATGTTGTCCAGGAAGGCCTTGAATTGCTGGGTTCAAGCAAATCTCCTGCATCAGCCTTCAGAAAAACTGGGACTACAGGTGCAGGCCACCATGCCTGATTCTAAAATTAGTTCTTAAAGGCAATATTTCCCACTCAAGATACAAGTGACTATCTTAAGCTGCCAGAGAGTAGACAGCTCCTTCTTTTCCTTCAAAATAGTCTCCCTACCTTCCTGGTTTCCGACCTATATCTTTTTAATAGTGCAATGTTCACATAGTTTTGGTTCCATGGAATCACCTTAGCAAATGCATGTAACACATTTTAACTTGCTAAACTCTTTCCCTAATTTGATAAATTATTTTATAAAATGATCAGTTCTTTAATCGTACCTACCAAATACATGTTAACTATTTTCACAATGGAAACATTAGAACACAGAATTGAAACAGTGCCTCTGCCAGGTGGGAACAGAGCATTTCGCTGGGCTTTGTCCACTATGGTTGTATGCTGCTCCACCACTGTAAGCTGTGCCCTCCTCTCAACAGGTTCAAAGATTCTTTTTTTAGTGCTAAATAGATGGAGGGATCCATAACTTAGGTGGCTAAGAATGTGGGTCATGGTCTTCAGGGTTTATCTATTCTCTGCACAATGGCATAAATAATTACATCTCATATTAACAGTGTAGCCAACAGGAGATTCTAACACAATTTCACCAGATGAACAACATGATCAGAAACAAACAATGAAGAATGTGTAACTCTAGTTTATCTAGCAATCCAATTTCTAGGAAAGTATCCCACAGATATAACTGCAAACAAATGAAATGACATATGCAAAGTTATCACTGCTCTGTTATTTCTAGTAGCAAAAGACTGAAAACAAGCTAAGTACCCATATATTAGACTGGCATGACCCAGTAACCATGAGTTAAAATTTGAATTTTTTTTTTTTTTTTGAGGCAGAATCTTGCTATCTATAGCCCAGGCTGGACACAAACCCACGATCCTCTTGCCTCTGCCTCCTAAGTGCTGAAATTATAGGCGTACTCCACCATGGCTGGCTAGTTTGGCTACTGAATGCCCCCTAAAGGCCTAACTACTAAAGGTTCGGTCCCCAGGTAGTGTCATTAGGAAGCTGTGGAACTTGTGGGAGGTTCTTAGGTCACTGAAGGTGTGCTTGAAAGAGGATTATGGGACTCTGGACCCCTCCTCTAGCTTTTTGCTCCCTGTCTTGTGATGTAAGTGGTTTTGCTCTACCATATGCTCCTGTTATGATGTGCTGCCTAACAACAGACCCAAAGCAATGGGGACGAATGATCATGGACTGGAATTAACTAATTTATATGCTAATTATCTTAGGTATTTTGTTATAGTGATAGAAACTGACAAACATCTCATCTATAGGACAATGGTATGGAAAGATCTCCAAAACATACTGTTAGGTAAAACAGGTTGTATAATATGTCTAGAATCTTCTCATTTGAGCTGGGTGACGGAGGTACTGAGGGAAGATAAATATAGTCCTCCTACTTATATTTGTAAAAAAACTGGAGGGACACATACCAAACAGCAGTAGTGACTAATGGCAGGTGGGTTTGGGTAAAGGAGACAAACACACAGATGGGAGCAAGATGTCTTAATAGTAGTATATTTTTACAATGTGTATAAACTGTACTTACTCAAAAAAGCAAAATTAAGTTTCAAATTTAACAGTAACCTCCTTGTTCTTCCTAATAAGGACTTCCTTGTATACCTGACTTGCACACATAATCATACACACTATATTCCAACACCAGTTGAATTATTACACACACAGGTAAAAAGGCCTGGAGAGAGTCATGGGTGTGGGGGACAATATATTTTGTTATTTCTAAGATGTACAAAAGGCTAAAACTTGGAAATAAAACCCTTGAATCACTTATTTTAGCTAATCATTTTTTAGCAGTATTTCTGTAAATTATTGTCTCACATACTAACATAAAAAGGAAGGAAAGAGGGTTTCGTAGGGTTCAAATTTGAAGAGAAAGTTTTTCTTCTACAGAGCATAACCCTAGAACTAAATTTCCCACCAGTAGCCTCTGTGAGTAAAGACAAAGGAATGAAAACATGAACAGGAAGCTTCAGAAGTTAAAAGGAAATGCTGAACTCCCAACCGATTTCTAAGGACCTTTGCCATCACTTAAACAGTGAACCCATTCCAATGCTGCTTCATTTCCTCTAGCCTGTAACTCATCTTTCTAGTCCCATAGAGTAAAAAAAAACCTTTTCCCAAGGTTATTGACATTTCTAATACACTTATATTCTGTATACTAGAAGCATCCTTTCAAGTAAAAATGGTGTTTGCTGCAAAAAGGTGACTAGCTTAGCTTACAAGTCAAATTATCACTCAAAAATTCTAGTGTCACTAATTCTTCACAAAACCCCATGAGGGAAGTAATATCACATTTTTTTTCCCTTCCCCTGAAGGTGCTGGGGATCCAACCCAGGGCCTCACATATGCAAGTGCTCTACCACAATGCAAGTTTCCCAACCCCTATCCCAGGTCTATAGGTACAAGAACAAATGCTGAGAGATTCAAGGATTTGCCCAGGGTTCTAGTACATTTAAATGGCAGGATCTTTCTGATTCTGATCTATAGCCCTTACCCTTGAGTCCACAATGTTATTTCACTATTACACAAAACAGGACCAGCAGATGGACCAATTAATCCTGCCATGTTATTGGAAATTAAAAAAAAAAAGGAGATCACTTGCCTAGCATGCCCAAGGCCCTGGGTTTGATCCCCAGCACTGCAACAAAAAAAAAAAAAAAGGGAAAATGTGAAAGTACTGTACTATAAAACACCCCCATGGATCCATCACCCAATTTCACCAATTAACACACATGGCCATTCTTGTTTAATCTAAACTTCCCTACGCCATGTCCTCTTCCCCATCTCTACTGCTTGAGCCACCCATCCAGCCCCAAAATTTTCATAATAACATTAAGACAAATACTTGTCTTTTATTTAAACTGCACTGAGCACATATGAATAATAAAACAATAAACAAAGAAAGAAAAAGAAAAAAAGTAAAATAAAAATAAGCTGCACTGGTATTTCCATCAATGGTATAAAAGCAACTTATAGGTAAACTCTGATGCCTTCACATGAAACAAGACAGTGAAGCCAAATTGTGCCAGAAGTCATTATATCCTTCACTTGCAAAGACTTGACAACAGGGGGGGTAGGGAGCCAGTTTCACTCGCAAATATCCTTAACAAAGCAGTAAAAATGATCAATTCTTGAAACTGAGTATATGCCCTTTTAATATGCAGTGTAAAGAAACAGGAAATGTGCATACTGGAATATGGTGTTGTCTTGAGGCAAAACACTTGATTTGCTTCACCTGATCACCACTCAGTGATTATTTAAGTTTTCACTTTTTTTCATGAAACACCATTTTTACTTGAAAGAATGACTAGAAGTCATTCAAAAGATTTAGGTATTCTCAGGCATTTTTCTCAAGAAATGAATGAAGTAAGCCTGTCATTCTGAGGGAAACAACTGTTGATTGCTATCACTGTTGCCAATGATAAAAATCTGAGCTTTCAAGCTAATATCAAAGTTTTTTAAAATATTTATATCCCACCGTGAGCCTGACAGCTTCCAAATACTCTTCTGATGAGACTGGTGATAATATTCATTAATGCAATTCTTTTTGATTGTGTAGTGAAACCTGTAAACCCCTGGAAGACATGTGTAACTCAGTGCACTGTTATTTTCCAAATGATCAAGACAGGATGCAACAAAATCATGCATGGGTAAACGATTCATCCTAAGTGCCAGATGGACTATGGATTTTAAAGGAAAATTTACTGACAGGATTTCAGACTCTACAATGCTATTAATATTTAGGAATCTACCACTTATTGAGATTATGCTGGAGTATCAACAAGGGATCTCTAAAAAAGACTATCAAAATACTTTTTTCTTTTCCAGCCATGTATCTGCGTAAGATTTTTTTTTTTGGGGGGGGTGGGTGGGACTGGGGTTTGAACTCAGGGCTTCAAGCTTGCAAAGCAGGTGCACTTGAACCACCCCTTCAGTCCATTTTGCTCTGGTTATTTTGGAGATAGGGGTCTCATGAACTGTTTGCCCAGGCTGGTCTTGAACTGCCATCCTCCCAATCTAAGCCTCCCAAGTAGCTAGGATTACAGGCGTGCGCCACCAGCGCCTGGCCATGACATTAGATTTTCTTCATATTTCAGCCAAGACAACATTAATACAATAAAACAGATATTAAGCCAGATATTAAAGATTGGCAAAAAATGTGAAACCATACTACTCCTTCCTCTCATTTCCATTTTAGAAAACAATTATTTTAATAAAAATGTTATTTATGTCACTATAGTAGGTTTATTTGTAAATGAATATTTTTAAATTTTCTTTTTTTTTTTTCAGCACTGGGGCTTGAAGTCAAGGTCACACTTGCTAGGCAGGTGCTCTACCACCTGAGCCATTCCACCAGCCCGGTCTAGTTGTATCTTGTCGAAGGTCTTCGTGTCCATATTCATAAAAGATACTGGTTTGTATGTAATTGTCTTTCCTTATGATCATTTGTCTTATTTTGCTTATCAGGATAATACCTGCCTCACAAAATGAGTTGAAAGTGTTCATTCCAACTTTTTCAAGTAATTTGGGAAGAATTTTAAAATTTAAGAAGAAACTCGTATTTTTATTAGCATCTTTAATTAAAACGTTTGCACGCACTGCTTTTTTGTTATAATTAGCACGACCATAAAATTCACTCTTCAATGTATAACTGTGGTTCTTGGTCTATCCACAGATGCAATTACCACATTATATAATTCCAGAGGACACCTTGTGTGCATTAGCACTTATTGTGCATTCTCCTTTCCCCCAAGCATTCACTGGTTATCACTGATCTATGTTCTGTCTATGGATTTGCTTATTTGGGATATTTTATATGATGGACCATACAGTATGTGTCCTTTTTATCTGATTTCTTTCACTTAACATAATCTTTTCAATGTTCATCCATGTTGTAGCATGTGTTAGTACTTCATTCCATTTTATGGCAGAGTAACATTGTACAAATAGACCACAATTTATAAATCCATCTGTGAGGTGATGGACATCTGAGTTGTTTCCACTTTTAAAGTATTAATAGTAAAGCTGTTATGAACATTTGTGTACAATATTTGCAAGAACATGCTTCGATTCTCTTGAGTACCTGAGAGTGGAATTGTGGGTCATGTAGTAACAGCTTACTTTCTGAGAAGCTGCCAAACAGTTCTCCAAAGCAGCTGCATCATTTTACATTCCATGAACAAGAACAGGGGCTCCAATTTTTCCACATCCTCATCAGTACTTGTTACTATCTTCTTGATATTAGCCTTCCTGGTGTGTGTGAAATGGTGCCTCCTTGTGGTTTTGATTTGCACTTTCTAATGACCAATCAACTACTTTTCATGTGCTTACTGGCCATTTGTGTATACTCTTTGGAGAATGTCTACCCAAATCTGTTGTCATTTTAAAATTGGATTTTTAGCCTTTTGATTAAATCACTGCAATTTCACTTATGAAGTTTTATATTTTCTCTAAGAATTTTATTTGTCTAGCTCTGACATTTAGGTCCATGACCCATTTTGAATTAATTTTAGCATATGATATGGAAATCCCATGAACTCCTTAAAATACGTCAATTTACATAGTTCTAGGTTACTAGCTACTCATCCAATTAATGGCAGGGAATTGAAAAGAGGAAGTAAAAAGCCCTGAAGTGTGTCAGGAACAAATAATACTCTAAATGCCTACATGCTTTTTAAGTTAACTCTTAGGGACACTTCTTTCTGGTCTTTGGAGAAGGGACAGAATCACCACTGATAGCTGCCATTTTAAGGATTGAGAGTGTCATACACATGTATGAACACACATTTTCTTTTTTTGTTGGTAGCACTGGGGTTTGAATTCAGGGATTCGCACTTGCAAGGCAGGCACTCTGCCACTTGAGACGTGCCTCCAGCCCTTTTTGGTCTGGTTATTTTGAAGACAGAGTCTCTAGGGTCTCATTTTTTGCCCAGGCTGTCTTGGACCACAAACTTCTGCCACAGCTGGAATGACAGGTGCATGCTACCACATCCAACTTCTTTCTGTTGAGATGGGCTATCACAAATATTTTTGCCTAGGCTGGCCTGGAACTGCTATCCTCCTGATCTCAGCCTTCCATGTAGCATGAAGTGACAGATACACACCACCACTCCCAGTTATTGGTTGAGATAGGGTCTCACTAAGGTTTGTCCTGGGCTGGCCTCAAACTAAGATCCTCCTAATCTCTGCCTCCTAAGTATCTAAGATTACAGGTATGAGACACCAGTGAAAGGCAAAGCAAGACAATGAGATCCTTTATACAACTCAGTTTGATAAAACAAAATGAAATTCCTTATAAATATTGAGTTATTCTAAATGAATATTAAAGTTGGTCTTAAAAGAATTATTTCTGGGCTAGGGAGTACCTCCCTAGTAAGTGTGAGGCCCCAAGTTCAAATTCTAGTACCACCCAAAAAACCGAATTATCTCTATTCTTTTTTGAGGTTTCCTAAAAAACATGGAAGTCAGGGAATGCACTTTTTATAGTAATGAGAATAGAAAAATTCAAAATACAGTTAAAATGGGTCAAGCAGTCTCATTTTTGTGCATAAAAGCTTCAACATCACAAATACACTCACATGGTGAAATGGGGTCAAAACAACCATCCCAAACAGATTCCATAAACACAGATTTTGCAGAAGCGTCAAATGTTATACAAATTTACAAGTTATAAGTGAATCTCCCTGTTACATTCAGCACGCTAGCCATGATTCTAGGAACCTTCAAATGTCATGCACGCAGGAGAGTACTCACAGGTGAGAGCTTCTGAATAAGGTCATGGGCAACATGGACAAGGTTCTTATCTTCATGGAGACATTTCTGAAACTTTTTGCTCTCTTCATCTTCTAGAAGATCAAAATCAATGGCAGCATCCAGTAAGGCCTGAATTAACCCCTTCCAGGATTTTAGCGCTGGAACCTGAGGTGCAACTGCAGCACTAATGCCTGTTCCAATCACCAGCACAAGTTCTCGGGGCTTCTTAGTCTTTAAGCTTGGAAGCAGCTTTCTGAAAAAACAAATCATGCAAGAGAATTGGAACATCAACAGACATGAAGTGTGCAGGAAGGCTATGTGACTAACACTAAACAGCAGGTTTTCAGCTGTAACTTTTACAGTTCACAAAGATGACAAGTACCAGTTTCTGATACTTCTCTAAAGTAGTTTAAACAAAAGAAACACCACAATTTTATGGCACTGCTTTCTGGAAAACAAGTAATAAATTTATTTCAGCAATCCTAAGAAACAATCTTAAAATCAATTTTCTCCTTTATAGTCCTCTCAACCTAAGAAAATCCACTAACAGTAGGAAAAAGTCCAAATGTATTATGGCTCAGCTGGGTTCTGCCAACTAAATTATATTTTAAATGAATATTAAATTTCAAAAGACCATGTTTGATCTGTATTCCAGAAAGAGAGGGAAGATCCCTACACAAATTAAGCCCCCATTTTTGAGAAATGTGAAACAGGAGATGAAAAGAAAGTAAATAAAAAGTTTAACTCCCAATTTTGTAAGCATTTTAAAGATAAAACTAAGTATGAGGTTGCCAAATAGGAGGACAGATCCCTGGGGTATGGGGAGGAGTGGCAACCAGGACTCTGAAATCACGAGTGTCACATACCTAAACAAAGGATATGACAAAAAGTAAAAAAAAACAAAACTTTCCTTTCTCACCATAAGCCAAGATTTCTCTTTGTAAACACTTATGTGAGATAACATGGGCACAAGTTTTTAATTTCTGGTGCCCATTCCCTTTTCACTCTACAGACAATAATAAAATCCCTGTTTAAAATGTGTTCCTTCATTTACATTTCTGCTGATGGCATGCTTTTTCAAGAAACTGTTTTTCCCAACTCATTTTCCAAATAATAAAATGAATGGAAACAGGATTAGTATTTTGACAAAACCCAAGAAAGAAAGCATTTGGAAACGTGATTTTGGGGGAATCTCTTGAACTGCCTTTCTTACCACCAGTTCCTAGATTCAAGGTTTAACAAGCAGGAAAAAAACCTGTAAGTACCAGACACTATGGAAGGCATTAGGGATGGATTTATAGGCAAAACAGAGTACCTGGTCTCAAAAGTTTAATGTACTAGAAAAGTCTGGTAATAGACATTAGAAGCAAATGATGAAGTATGTTTCAGTTACAGGAATCAAGATATTATACAGAAATATACCTGCAAATATACACATGCAAAGAACGTTTCTAGAAGAATTCACAAGAACCATAAACACTAGTTAACTGATGATTAGGAAAATAAGGACTTTTACTTTGCCCTTTATAACTGTTGTACTATTTGAATTTTTTTTTTTCAGCACTGGCGATCAAACCTAGGGCCTCCAGCACGCTAAGCAAGCACTCTACCATTGAACTACATTCTCAGCCCAGCCCTGAATTTTTGTTTTTGACCATGTACATATGGATAATTGAGCTATAATTTTCTCAATTAAGACTTCCAGTAAATAAGGAAAAACTTAACAGTTGTGTTTTGTGATTCTTCCTAAAACCACTAAATAATAGACATTCATGTGTAAAAAGTAGGTTAGGACGAGACATCAAACAAGACAACAGACGCAGCAAAATTTTGGAAGTTGTAGCATAAAAGCTGATAACCTTTGAAGAACCTTGGGAACATGCAGATACATGGGAAGGTAGAGGGGTGAGGGGTGCTAAAATAGGAAAGTCAAGTCTCAAGTCTATCAGAAGCAGTTAGAACTAACTAAAGGCTTGCCTTCTGGAGAGGGTAAGCCAGAGGACTCTGCATTTGAGAACACTGTGCACAGTATGGGGTGAGGATTAAAAAAGACTTCCCTACACCCAGGGCAAGCCTCTCAAACACTAGAAGTCAACTTTAACCCACTCCATCTCCCATCCAATCAGGAAAAGGGAGGATTCCTCTTTGGCCAGTAGGGGAAAAAAGACCCATAACTTCTGAATTCCTCAACTATAGAGCCTGGTCCTTGCTTGACACTCAGAAATTCATTACCCACCAAGCCCCTTATATACACATAGAGACTCCCAAATGGCTTTTTAGTGTTTTCTCTTAAATACAAGCCAACAATGGTCACTTTATATTTGAGGAAGAGCCCTACCCAAAGAATTACACAAAAACAAACTAGCAGTTAGAGAGGAATTTGGAGGAAATGAGACAATACAGCAACAAAGAAAATTTTAAAAGAAAACAAGGATATCCTCACATAGATTTTAAAAATTGCTTTTATAGGAAAACAAAAAGAATTCTTAGAAATTAAAAATATAAGCCTGGCATGGTGGTCCCAGCACTTGGGAGGCTAAGGCTGAAGGATGTCAAGTTTGAGGCCAGCCTGGGCTACATAGGAAGATTCTGTCTCAGAAAGTAAATCAAAAAAACAAAATTGGAAAAAAAATTAAAAGTCCAACAGAAATTAAGAATTCATAAGATAAAACTGAGAAAATCTCCAAAAAGTGAATTTAAAAATAAGAAATGGAAAAAAAATTAAGAAAAATATAAGAAAATTAGACTTAATCCTAAAGGTCCACAATCTGAATAACAAGAGTTCTACAAAGAAAGACAGAGAAAATAAAATTGTACTGGAAAGAATCAAGTAAGTTAATATAACACAATTTCTTCAAGTGAAGTTACTGGTAGGTAGTTTGAAAGAGCCAGTGTCCAGATTTATCTGAAGACACATCATTGTGAAATTCCAGGTTACTGAGAATAAAATGACGTTTAAACTTCTAGTAAGCAAAGAAAAGTAAGGGATGTCACATGATTACTACAAAGTACTGTGGTGGGTTGGATCTGGAATGCCCCCTCGAAAGACTCATGTGTTGATGACATAGCCCCCAATGCAGAAGTGCTCAGAGGCGGGGCTTTTGGCAGGTGATTGGATCCTAAGGGCTCTGATCTCATCACTGGATTAATCCACTGGTGGGTTCATAACCTGAGGGCATCACTGGAAGGCAGGGCCTACTTGGAAGAAGTAGGTCACTGGGGACATGTCCTGGAAAGGTATACCTTGTCCCTGGACCCCTCTTCTCTGACTCTCTCTGCTTCCTGGCAGACCTGAGAGCAACACTGTGCCACCACACGCTCCCTGCCATAACATTTTGCCTCACCACAGCCTAGAAGCAATGGGGCCAATGGACTGAAACTGTGAGCCAAAATAAGATGATTTCTCTCCGGTGTTTTGTCACAGCAGTGAAATGCTTACCAACACAGCTGGGACTCAACACACAGTGGCTATTTTGGCAAGAACAGATGTTAGCAAAGAGTAAGTGACACTTTTAAAATTCTAGGAAAAATTTTTTTCCTACTGGTGAGTCTATACCCACCAAATAAATGTAAGCATATAACAAAGATATTTAAGGTAACACCAAATTTTTTTCCTGTGTACTTTTTTTTTGTAGTTCTGGGGTGGGGTTTGAACTCAGGGCCTTGCGCTTGCTAGGCAGGTGCTCAACCACTAGAGCCACTCCCAGCCTGGTTTTGTATTGGGTTTTTTCAAGGGTCTTATAAACTATTTGCCTCAGGCTGACTTCAAACTGTGATCCTCCAGATCTCTGCCTCCTGAGTAGCTCAGATTACAGGTGTGGGCCACCAGCACCCAGCTATGGATCTTATTTGAGAAGTCATACAAGGTTATGCTTCAGCAAAACAAAAGGAGTTCAGGAATAGCTGTGTATAGTGCACTGAGTCCAAAAGGAAGAATCCATGAAACAAACTAGCAAATTTCTGATGTCTTTCAGCACATCTAGGAGATTTATTCTCCTGTTACCATGTTTGAGGATAAATGAAAAGGTACAAAGAAAACAAAGCAAACAAAAAATGAGGTTGTCTTTAATAACAGAGGAAAAGACAGGCATGAATGGAAATATAAGCAGAACACATTAAGCTCAGCCATGAATAAATACTATTTATAAAGAAATAATGATGTATGTATTCAAACCTGGTTGAACTCAGCATTGTGAGATAAAAATCCTGGGAGGATAAAGAGAAGCCTGTGGGGCAACTATGAGAGGAGTCACAGAGCAAACTGAATCCTTCTCCTCTACCACTGGAAATAAACAAAAATGTAACAGTACAAATAAAATATTTAAAAATATTGATATTACTGGGTATGGTAGCATAGGCCTGTAATCCTAGCTCTTAGAATGCTGAGGCAGAAGAACTGAAAATTCATAGTGAAACCCTGGCTCAAACACAAAAACAAAACAATACCAAAAAAGTAAACGTTAATATTAGAAGAAAGAAAAAAAAAATTCAAATTGGTTACCTCAGCCTTGAAGTAATGACTTTAAAAACTACATTACGTATATTACCTTGACAAAAAGTTAAATCCAAAATAAAAATAATTTAAATTTTTAAATGAAGGCTAATATTAATTAGCAAAAAATACCTGGAATACAGGGTGAATTCATTATTTTTCTTTACCTCCCACTAATGGTAATTTTCTGTGTTCCTCTGGTTCCCTTTCTCTTGTTTACCTGGGCTTTTTGGTGGGGGGTTCGCCATCACTGAAGAATCCAAAAATCTCGTCTATATCAGAGGCCTGGCTCCCTGTAGAAGCCATCCAGTTTCTAAAACAGATTAGATACCATGTACCATGATTAGATCCATAAATTATATCATTTAAAATAGAACATAAAAACAAATGTAATAAGCTCTGTACCCTTTAAAGGTGTTTTGGTGGTGTCCCCTGCTTAATGAAATTCCATTAATTAACAAGCATTCCAAACTTAAGGAATTAAGTAAATTAAAATAGTCTAAAAGAAGTAACCTCGGAGTTGTAAGACTGTGGTTCTCCATAATGACACCTTGTTTCTGTTTCTAAAGGCTTCCCCCCAATCTCCCACCAAAGAAGCAATGTCAACTCATGCCAGTTATTGGCCATCACTTTGTGACACTTAAGAAACATCTGTAATCCTCCCCTCTGAGATGGGGTTGAGGAATACTCAGAAGATAAAAACAATCCATGGTAAGTGTGCTCAAAGCTCCAAATTACCCACTTATTCTCCACTGAAGAAATCAGTGGGCTAAGAAAAATCAATACTAATTTGCTGATGTTAGGAATTCCTTGTTACTAGACAACTGTGCCCTCATAGGCAACTAAATATGCAGGGGAGTTTTAAGTCCAGTCACTGTAAATGGTGAAGGTATTCACATGCAAAGATGTATGGAAAATGGCTAACTGTGTTCAGGTGCTGGGTTAACTAGCAAAACAATTCCTACAGATTAGAGTAAAAACTACAAAGAAGTTTTAATTGCTCAAAACTTTAGTGAACTGATAATGAAATAGCAATAATATTTCAAATACAATGTAGAAGACAATACATCAGTAGTATTACAGTTTTGGGTATTTTATTATGCTTCATTGTCTGTATTCAGAAAGAAGCAAATTACTAATGATTATTGCAAGTTTACTATTTTATTGAAAAGCTTTTCTCTTAATTCCTTGAACCACACCTCCAGTCCATTTTGCTCTGGTTATTTTGGAGATGGGGATCTCATAAACTATTTACTGGGGCTGGCCTCACTGCAATCCTCCCAATCTCAGCCTCCTAAGTAGCTACAATTATAAGCATGAGCCACTCTACTCAGCTTCATTAAAACTTTTTATAAAGTTTGCTGGATTAATTTTTCTGGTAAACAGAAGACTCAGTTCCTCATCCCATAGTCTATCTCATATAATAGAATCTTTTTCTGATATTGTAACCATTAAGAAAATAAGAATTATACAATCCTAAGAGTTAAGAAGTGACCACCTTTCTAGTCAAATCTTTGACTAAAAATCTTTGGTGAGAAAGCTGGGCCTTAGGACAAGACAGACCAATCATTTAATTCAGTAAATCTTGCCTTAACTCAATCATCTGCTCTGCTTGCTAAAAGGATACAAGACTGAACCAGAATGTACAGGAGATTTTTCTTTTTTTCTAGAGGTACTGAGGATTGAGCTCAGGGCCTGCAGCTTGCTGGGCAAGTGTTCTACCAGTTAAGTAAGCTATACCTCCAGTCCTTTTGCTTTTAGTTTGTTTTTCATGCCTTTTGCCTGGGCAGACCTCAGACAACAGCCTACCTCCACCTCCTGAGTAGCTAGGACCACAGGCATGCACCATCACATCCAGCTCCAGTGGATTCTTACAATGTATCAAATAGGAAACACCTAAATAAAATGCAGTTTTTCTAGAACTCAACTATTTTGATATGTTGAGTGTACATAGGGTGTTTCCAAACTGTGAAACACTTCTGAGCTCAAACATTTCAGATAAGGGATTCTCAACCTATGTCATTACCTTGTTTTACTGATGAGAACTCTCATGTCTATTGCAGCTTTATTTACAATAGCCAAACTAGGGAAACAGCCAAGATCCCCCACAATTGATAAATGAATTAAGAAAATATGGAATTTTATTCAGCCATAAAGAAGAAAGAAATTTTGTCATTTGTAGGTACATGGATGGAACTGAAGAGCATCATCTTAAGTGAAGTTAGTCAAAGGCTGCATGTTTTCTCTCATATGTAGAATATAGGCCCAACACAAATATAAGCAACATTACTTATACATAGAAATATATACAGAGCATGTACATATCCAAAAGTGGGACTGGTAGAGGAGACCAAGGGAGGAGGAAAAGAAGGAAAGAAAGATAATAAGTAATAATGAAATACATCAAATGTGTGTAGGAACAAGACACAAGGAAAAATGCTGAAAACTGTTAAACAACACAGGATAGGGGAAAAAGGGCAAGGAAGTGCAGTGGAGGGGGGTTACACTGACTGAAGCACAATGCACATACAGGTATAATACCAAGACAATAATACCACTGAACAAAGAACAGACACTGAAACAATGAAGGACAAAAATAACAAACAGGTCAACACATTTGGGTGAGGGGGGCACAAATGGGAGGGAGAGGGTAAAGGACAGAGGTAAAGAAGGTCAATATGGGTGGTGTACTTTCTATACAAGAATGAATATAGAATTTTTAAACCTGTTGAAATCACCATAAGAAAAGGACTAAGGTAGAAAGGAGAAAAATGAAGGGGATGAACCAATTTGGGATTCAATACATATATACATGGAAATGTCATAATGAAACTCTCTGTCTAGGTATCTTTTTTTCTGTATAGATATCTTAAACAAAATGTCTTTTTTTTTTTTTTTTTCAAAAACAGAGGACAAGAAGGTAAAAAAGATCCTATCTGGGAGCTGGTACCAGTGGGAGGGGGAAGGATCTAAAGATAGAAATATTAGGTACTCATGTATGAAAATGGAAAAATGAGACCTGTTGAAACTATCCTAAGAATTGGGGAAGGGGTAAAAGGAGAATGATGGAGGGGGTGAATTTAACTAAGATATATTATAAACACTTTTGTAAATGTCACAATGTACCCCCAGTACAATAATATGATTTTAAAAAGAAAAGCCAGACACGGTGGCTCACGCCTAGAATCCTACCTACTTAAGAGGCAGAGATCAGGAGGACCACAGTTCAAAGCCAGCCTGGGCAAATAGTTTGCAAGACCCTATCTCGGAAAAAACCCATCGCAAATAAGGGATGGAGTGGGTCAAGGTATAGGCCCTCAGTTCAAGCCCCAGTACTGCAAAAAAAGGAAAAAAAGGCAACAACATTCTAGAAAGCAGATTTCCTTAAAGTAATTCTATATAATGCTTAATAGCTAAAGCGAAACTGGGCTCTATCAAGGCATGCCCTTGTGGCAGTCAACTCAGTTCAGAAGCTGGACAAACCCACTTTCTTTGGTGATGAGCACTATTTGTTATATACTTCCCACCACTCCTTGTCACCAGAATTCTAATCAGTCCTATTATTTTCTCCAGGAAATTATACATGATCATTTTTGCTGGATTCTATTTCTACCCAATGCTCAGAAAAAGTTTTCTGCTTTATCACTTGAAAGAGTCAAATGTCCATTCCATCTATTATAATTTAAGAAAATTAAATACGGACAATGGTTCCTGACTGGAATATTTCAGGTCCATTACTTAGGAACTAAAGGAGAACCACTTTGGTATGGCCACCCCATACATAATCATATACTCATTCTGTTTTCTCACATACTATTCCTGTCTTCACTATACTATCTCACATGTGTAAACACCAATGATGTATCATTTGATATAAAGCGTATTTTATTCTTCCCAGAGTACTACTTTCAGGGGGAAAAAAGCCATTTTAATGTTTACCTAAACAATATGTAGAACTGCTAAAGAATGCAAAGCTAACTGGAAATCTTACAGAATTCCTAACATGCATCAACGATCTCCCACATGAATTTCTTCACATGATTGATATTGAGTTTTCATTTTGGTGAAACTTGCCATGTATAGCAGAAGTGTAAAATGCTTTTCTGCCACAAGAAAACAAAGGCATTACCTGTGGTAGAGTCTTAATTATTCCAGTCACTGCTAAGCCACTGAGAAATATTTCATTCAGGCCAAGAGAGTACAGCAAAATGAAAGTTAGATACTGGGTAAATGCTGAGAAAAGCAACCTCACTAGTAAAATTTTTAACGTCAAAATCTTCATGTAAGATAGAACACATACTGTGGAACCTTTCAGCTTGGTAGGAAATCAAATACCAATAACAACAAAAAATCAAGGTGAATCTCTTAAGAAAAATCTAGTAGGAAACATGGGAAAGGATCAAGAGAAAGTTTGCACGTAACAGAGGACCAGTAGATCTGAAACCATCAGAGAATCACAGCAGCTCTTGCTTTCACGTATCTTGATGTCAGCACAGTGGGCAAAATTTGGCCCCCATCCACTCAGGCATCAGAGAAGTCTCCCAGCTGCTTTCCCCATTGTGACCTATGTGCCTCTCCTGGGCTTCCAGTGTATAGGATTCAGCACAAGCAAGGAGCGTGCCACGCACAGGAAATCAATGTGAGTCAATGCCCTGTATAGCTATCCTTATCTCAACCAGCAAAAACCCTTGTTCCTTCCTATTATTGCTTATACTCTCTCTACAACAAAATTAGAAATAAGGGCAAAACAGTTTCTGCTAGGTATTGGGGGGGGAAGAGGGAGGGGGCGGAGTGGGTGGTAAGGGAGGGGGTGGGGGCAGGGGGGAGAAATGAACCAAGCCTTGTATGCACATATGAATAATAAAAGAAAAATGAAAAAAAAAAAAAAAAGGAGCGTGCCAGAGGAATTGGGAAAAATACACTGTGGCAGGTGGAATAAATCAAATGGAGAGAAAAGTGCTCATTTTTTCAGCATTTTTGCCAGGAAATAAAGGATCAATAAACGACTAGAGGGTGGCAATGGGGTGGCACACTTTTTGCTTAAAAAAAAAAATCAGTTGTGTGTGCACTGGGCACTACTGGCTCACGCCTGTAATCCTAGCTACTCAGGAGGCAGATCAGGAGGATCACAGTTCAAAGCCAGCCTGTGCAAATAGTTCCTAAGACACTACTTCGAAAAACCCATCACAAAAAATGGGCTAGTTGAGTGGTTCAAAGAAAAAAAAAAAAAATAAGGGGTGTGGTTCAAGTAGTAGAGGACTTGTTTGCCTAGCAAGTATGAGGGTCTGAGTTCAATTCCCAGTACTGCCAAAA